CAAACATTTCACGTATAGTGTCTCATCTATTCTTCTTCCAAACCTCCACAGATGCTAAAATGATGGTACCATTTCCATTTTATAAACAACTGACTAAGACTTGAGTGGGATCATCTGACTTTTCCTAAGGACACACAACCAGAAAATGCTGCCCCCAGCACTAGTATCTTGTGCAGGTGATTTCGAATCAAAAGCTCAGGAGGTTGAAAGAGATTAGGCTTTGGAAATGGCCTACAGAAAAGAAATTAGGCTTTGGAACAATTGTGCCTAGGGTGTCACTTTCACTCTTTATTTCCCTCAAGTGGATTGCTTTCCTGCAGATCTTTAGTTTCTTTCTATGCAAATGAGGTGGGAACACCCAGTTTGCAGGTTCTTGTGAGGACTGGAGTTAATTTACAAAAGTTGCCAGCCAAGTGCCTGGTAGAGACTGTTAAAAAACAGAAGTTGTTTTTTATTCTATAAAATTGTGCACCTGATAATTGTACCCAAATTAACAAGGACATTTGCAGCCTGGCTGTCAATTATTGACTGAACGATTTCTATGGGATTCACAATTCAAGATTTCATTTCTTCTATCTCACAGATGTATCCATCTCTCTCCATTATCAGATGGCCTGCATTCACAGAGTAAAAACTCATTTAAATATTGCTGTACAAAACACTGAATTTAGAAAGTAAAAAAATTTCTGCAAAAAAACTGATATTATTCATTCTAAATAAATTTGTATGGACTAGCTTATCATTTACTTAATCCATGTAATTATTCTCTTTCATCACCATGACTAAACAAGAACTGAATATGGCTATAATTAGATTAATGTAAACAACATCTAAGTGTAACACTGAGAAAAACAAAATCCATTACAAATTAAATTCATAAGAAAGTTTTTACTTCTACTTAATTCTGAAAGACAGGGGTCTGTTACTAACAACTATTAATAAAAGAAGCTTTACATTTCATATTTTTACATTTTATATTATGAAAATAAGCTATACATATTATGAAACTAAGCTATATATATTATATTCTTCCTTCTGTGTTTATATATACATATATATTTGTGTCCACATATATACAATAAAAGCACATTTTAAAAAATCTGAAAACCAAATGCTGACTAATACATTTACACACCCAGTCAGTAATTTAATTGATCACTATTTGGCCATGAAAAAATGCATTAATATATTTATATTTGTATTTACATTTCTACAAAAATGAAATACCCAGGAGTAAATTTAACCAAGGAGGTGAAAGACCTCTTCAGTAAAAACTGTAAAACACTGGTGAAAAAAATTTAAGAGAACAGAGATACATGATGGAAAGATATCCCATGTTCATGGGTTGGAAGAATTAACATCATCAAAGCATCCATATTACTCAAAGCAATCTATATATTCAACATAATCCTTATCACAGTACCAATGACATTCTTTACAGAAATAGAAACAACTATCTTAAAATTTGTATGGAAATCCAAAAGATCCAGAATGGATAAAGCAATCTTGAGCAAAGAGAACAAAGTTGGAGGCAAAACACTTCCTGACTTCAAAACACACTATAAAGCAATAGTAATCAAAACAGCATGGTGCTGGCATAGAAACAGAAAAATGCCAAATGGAATAGAATAGAGAGCCCCAAAATAAACCCTCATATTTACAGCTAACTGAATTTTGACAAAAGTGCCAAAAATATACAATGGGGAAAGGACAGGCTCTTCAACAAATGGTACTGAGAAAATTGGCTATCCACATGCAAGAGACTGAAACTAGACTCATATCTCTCACCATATGTAAAAACAACTAAAAATGGATTAAAGAACTAAATTTAAGACCTGAAACTATGAAACTACTCAGAAAACATAGGAGAAATGCTACATGAAATGGGAGTGGGCAGCACTTTTTAGAGCAAGACTACCAAGGCACAGGCAACTGAAGCAAAAATACATAAATGAGATTACATCAAAATAAAAAAGCTTTGACACTGCAAGGAACACTGTCAACAAAGTGAAGAGAGAACTTACAGAATGGGAGAAAGTGTTTGCAAACTACTTACCAGACAAGGGGCTAATATTCAAAATATATAAGGACCTTAAAAAACTCAACAGAAAAACAAACAAACAAACAAAAAACAATTAAAAAATGATCAAAGGACCTGAACAGATATTTCTCAAAAGAACACATATAAATGGCCAACAGGCACATGAAAAAATGCTCAGCATCATTAATCATAATGGAAATGCAAATTAAAACCACAATGAGATATCATCTCACTCCAGTTAGAATGGCTATTATCAACAAAATAAAAAATAACAAATGCTCTTGAGGATGTGGAGAAAAAGGAACTCTCCTGCATTGCTGGTAGGAATGTAAATTGGTGCAGCCATTGTGGAAAACAGTATGGAGGTTCCTCAGAGAAGTAAAAATAGATCTACCCGATGACCCAGCTTCCCATTACTGGGTCTGTGCCGTGGATTGAATTGTGTCCCTCAAAGTCCATGTATCAGAAACTTAACTCCCACTGTGACAGTGTTAAGAGAGTGCAAAATATTATTATGGTAATTGAAAGGCAGGGCTTTGAAGAGGTGATTAGATTGTGAGGACCATGCTTAAGTAAATGGATTAATACTTTGTTGGTTTAATGATTGTCATGGGTATCGTTCTGAGAGCCTTAAAATGGGAAGGAGTGAAGAGTTAGCTCCCTTTCTTTTCTGCTATATTTGCCATGTGATACCCTGAGTTGCTCTAGTCATCACCCGGACAAGGCCTTCACCAGATGTGTTCTTTGGACTTTGGACTTTCCAGCCTCTGAAACTGTAAGCAATAAATATTGTTTCTTTATAAATTAACCAGTTTCAGGTATTTCTATTATAAGCAACAGAAACAGACTAATACAGTATATGCCCAAAGGAAATAAAATCAATGTATCAAAAAGACACCTGCACTCCCATGTTCATCATAGCACTATTCATAATAGCCGAAAGATGGAATCAACCTAAACATCCATCAATAGATGAATGGACTAAAAGTTTTTATCCATTCCATACACAATGGAATACTACTCAGCTATATAAATCAGGCACAAAAAGACAAAAACTGCATGATACCACTCATATGTGGAATTTTTTTAAAAAGTGATTCTCATAGAAGTAGAAAGTAGAATAATGATTATCAGAGGTTGGGGGGAGGGACAAGAAAAGTGGTGGACTAATGGGTACAAAACTATGCTATGTATTTTTCTTAGTCTGTTTCTGTTGCTTATAACAAAGTACCTGAAACTGGGTAATTTATAAGAAAATGCAATTTATTGCTCACAGTTTCAGAGGCTGGGAAGTCCAAAGCCCAGGGAACGCGTTTCATCAGGGTTTTCTTTGGTTGTGGTTTTACAGGAATGCAGGGGTCTCATATGGCAGAAAATGGCAGAACAGAGAGAGAATAACCTCTTATTTGAACCTCTCTTAAAGCACTCAGAAACATGTCCCTGACCAGTATTATTAATCTATTCGCTAAGGCATGGTCCTATAATCTAATCACCTCTCCAAGGCCTCATCTTTTAATTACCATAATAGGATTTCCCACCCTCAACAGTTACAGTGGGAACTAAGCTTCCAATATATGAACTTTGGGGAACACAATTCAATCAATCCACAGCACTATCCTAAGTGAATCATTGTGCAGTATATGCATGTATTGAAACAATATACTGTACTCCACAAATATGTACAAGTGAATGTTGAAATATTTTGAATAAAAAGAGATAATACATATTTGTTTATATTTGTATTATCTTTTTATGTAATATGTAAATATAAAACTTTATATTTGTATTGTAAACATATAAAAATATTTATGTATTTGTCTACATTGTAAATACATATTTATGACAGAAATAAGGCTCTTTGTAGGCAAATAATCATCAATTACATATATACACTTAAATATATATATGCATATGCATATGTAATGACAGAAATAAGATGTTAAATATCATCAATTACTGATTAGATATGTAAACATATTGAACAGCATTTGGATTTCAGAGTTTTGAAAATGCACTTTTTTGTTCTCTAATAATTAAATATATACTAATTCCATTAATTGATAATGGTTCTTACTGTATAAGCTACTTTTCCATCCATAAGCAAGAATATTCTTTAGTTTTTTTTTAATTATATGTAATTTTGAGTGACAGTAAGAACATTAAAAGAAAACATAAGCACAACAAAACATAAAGGCTCTTAACATCATTCCTGCTAATGTTCAACTTCCCAGTGGGCTCATGCTCATATTTTGTCCTATGCCCCACAATGTTTATTCATTAGGGAGTCCCTCTTGACTGTCAGTATGAAATGAAAACAGTCCCTGATAATGACAATGACTTGCACTTGTAAAATACCAAGCAAAATGTAATTGTGCTCAAAATATTCATACATCATACTCTGTGAATAATTCAATAATGTGTGGGAAAAGAAGGGCTATTTTTGGAAATTTTGGCCCACGTAATCTTTTGCAAGTAATTAGGTTTCTCTAGTGCAATAACAATGTCATTTCCATGACTTAATCTCAAACTGCAAAGAAATTAGAGACCTGAGTGACACAGTTTTATCATTTCCCAACCACTGAAAAGTTAAAGAATTTAATTTTAAAATGTATGGTATTTTGAAACAAGTCTTTTATACTATTTACTACAGACTTGAGCCAATCATAAGTTATAGTTTAACTTTCATAATAAAACTGAATAACAGATTTTGTTGAGGCTTTTCTACCACTTTGACGTGGAATTCTTTCATTTAAATAGCAGGATTCATAAAAACCAAAGCCCTAGGAACAAAATAATTTAGCACTGACGTAAAAATGAACTTTCTATCCCATCCTTCTTCCTTCAGGCATTTTTTTCAGAGATTTTACTGATTTGATTGAACAGCAGAAGGTTAAATTCTCACACAGAATTATTAGCAAAAAATAAACAGAGCAAGTACTAAAGCTGGCTTTGCACCTACTGAATGCTGCAAGTGTCTGTACTCATTTGATATGCATCTTGCAAAGCTTGGCTGTTCCCAGAAGGCCACTCCATGAAGACTGAGAGAGCAGCGTCTGCTAGTGGTGCCTGTGTGTCACAAAGAACAGAGAGAAGCTTTATAATAGGGATGCTTAAAGTCATCACATAGTTGAGAGGCAGGTCAAAAATTGGGTTTGTATTTTTGTTTTGCTTAAAATACATGCACATGAAATTGTTATTTTGATTATTTTTATAATGCATATTAGTCATACTGAAAAACAATTGCATCAACAATATTTTCTAGGTCTCTTTATTGGCTCTATTTAAAAAACACTTTACTAAATTGTTTTATTAAGTGCTTATTGGACAAACTTACTAATAGAAATAGGACAAACGCATGATTTCATAAGCAAACATGGTATGGTGTTCTTGGATGGTGATAATTACTTGGATTTAGGTGGGTCATTCTACTGTACCTGTGGCATTTAGTGGGCATTGATTGAATGCCAAGTCGCCTGCTGGAGTCCTTTTCCATACCATAGACATCAGATAATCCTCTGGACATATTTCATAAGGTGCTGCAATTTAAAACAGAGAGACTTGAATGTCAGCAGTGTTTATTTTTTCAAATATTGGCAATAAACAATCCTCAAATGCATTCTCTAAGTGCAGAGAGACTGCAGAGATGTTAGTGGCGTCTTCATAAAAAAAAAAAGCCCCACCGGGATTCATTTCAGTATCTACAAAATCTTCTCAGAAATGTCATTTCTTTTGAAACTGCTTACTGTGTAGACTTTTAAAAGAAAGTCATTTGGGTTTGCCTATGAAAATGATCACATTTAAAAATATTAATTAAAAAAATCCTACCAATATTCATAATGTTTTCAGATATTATTCAATAAAGTAATTTCCAATAAACCAAAAACCATATTAGAAGTTTTAACTATAAATATTAAGAATAAATAAACATAAAATGTTCTGATCCTTGTACTGGCCAGCTGCAAATAAATAAATAAATAAAGTAATAAACTCGAAGGGCAAAAATATATAACTATTTCTACAACAAAGAGCAACAATGGCACTTGTGTTACATAATATAAAATAAGCTGATTTGATATTTTTGTCTTGTTATTTTCAAAATCTCAATTTAATTATTGAGAATAAAGTTAAAAGGCATTTCAAGAATAAGAGATGTATAACAGAAATAGCATAATAAAAAGCCAAAGAATTGTGAAAGAACAGGTTCCACCTATATTGTGTTAAACCTGACATCTTGCTTCTGGATCAAAGAACATTAGTCCTTTCTCTAGATACACCTCTTATTATGCCTTTCACACAACATTGCCATTTATGTGTTCGAATATGTGTCTACACTACTTACATGGGCTCTTGTTTAGGTCTTCTCATCACTGTATCCCTTGCACCTAATGGTGTGTCTGGCACACAGAAGTTGCCCAAAGTTGAATGAATAAATGAATGAATATATTGTTATAAATTCCTCGACAAATAACTGAAACCCTAAAAAAATAATAACTAAATAAATACATGAGTGTGACTTCCTGGGAGAAATGTCTTCTTTTGAGAATAATATAATATTTAATCTGTGATAATCATAATTCTATTAATACCAATTCTACTTCAGAATTTTTTTTTTTTTTAGGATGACCAGTAAGGGGATCTTAAACCTTGACTTGATGTTGTCAGCAACACGCTCAGCCAGTGAGCTAACCGGCCATCCCTATATAGGATCCGAACCCGTGGCCTTAGTGTTATAAGCACCACACTCTCCCGAGTGAGCTACGGGCCGGCCCTCTACTTCAGAATTTTTGAACTCCTTAGGTTACACTACAGTTATTAGTAGGTGAAGAACGCAATTTGAGACATTCAATCTTGATATATTATCTTCTTCATAATTACCCCAGATAAGACAAATGGTTTAAACACGTAGGCATTTTAGAGCTGAAAGTGTCACTGAGGATCACCTATTCCATCTCCTTCCTCTTTGCACATGAGGGCACCAAGGCCAGAACAGAAGAGGCTTGCATAAGGTGATGGAGCTGGTGGAAGTACTAGCAGGACTGGATTCTAAATCCTGACTCTTCAGTAGCCTGGCTTCTGACATCCCCCATATCCTCTTTCTACCTGAGTTAATGTGTGTGTGCCTGTGTGTGTGTGTGTGCGTGTGTGTGTGTGTGTGTATTCTAGGTTCTCTTTAAAACACACAAGCAACTGTTTGCACCTTGTGCACTTTGTGCTTGATGGATGGTTTAGCAGTTGATTCGACCTTTCCCAGCCCCATTTGTATAAGACGTCTCTTCCTCACCTCACCCGTGATCTTCCACCAAACCTAATGTGCTCATCTTAATCTTGATTCACTGTACCCTCTCAGCAGCACTTTATACTTTGACTTGTCTCTTCTTGTTGAAAATCATTTCTTTACGGTCATAAAAAGCCATTCTCCCTCAGGCCCCCACCAAGCACTTGACAATTCTTCTTGGTCTCATTCCCTGTGCCCTTCTCAGAATCATCCGTACCTTACTTTTTCCTTGTGTTTAATGCTTCCTTAGATAATTTCAAACATATTAATAATAGTAATAGTAGTCACATTAGCATTTATTGAGCCCTTATTAAGAGTCTTACATGCATGGACTCATGTAATCTCCTCCAACTATTTAAAAGTCAGAGGTGGAGAGGTGGATTAACTTTGTTCTTTTTTTGGATTCCAAATATTCTATTTATTACATTTGAATCCAGAGGAAAAATTAAGTGCAGGAGGGGGTGCTGGGAGGTTAGGAGGCACTCTACCAAGGTGCCATCCTCCTTTGGCAGACAAGTCATACCCTCCTCCAAAGCCCCGGGATGTTACATAGGGCATAATTACTCTGCTGAGGTTGGCGAGCCTCTCCTGGGACCCTAAAACTCAATTTGTCACTTAGTCTGGCCTAGGAATGGTGGTGATGAATAGGAGTAGATCATCATAAATAAAAAATAAAAAATAAAATGACAAAATTAAACTCACCACAAAAAATGTACAACTCAAGTGAGGTTGGGGGCAGCCTCTGTGGAGGACGCTAACCCAATATTTCAAGAACAGAAACAGGAGAGAAATAAATTAAGGGATGCAGCAGCCACCACCAGCCAAGCCCCCATGACCCTCTGCTCCCACACTGGTTGTGGAGGTTAGCAAGCTGGGAGCCACTTCACTGCCTGCAGCGTCTGTCCCCAGTGCCATGGAAAACATATGCTCCCAGTCCTGCTTCCCCATCCAGCCTCCTACCAGGTGGCCATGGAGGCCCAAGGAAGTGTCTTCTGGGAAGAGGTGCAACAGCGTCAGGAAGAAAATGTAAAACCCAGAGATGAGAAAGTAGTGAGGGAAGTCACCCCAAGGGAACTAGGTGGTGTCCAGATTGATGCCGTTAAAGGGGAAGCAGCGGAAAACAGAAAAAGTTAGTAAATGTCAGAGACATGTTAAGAACGCAAGCAGCTGACTTCCGATCCCACAATCTTGCTTGTTATACTGCAGTCATGCCCACCTCCACGCCCTGTACCTCCAGTTGTGCATTAGAAACCCAAGTTTATTTTTTTGGTTCAGATATATTTCTCAGGTTTTAGATTCGCATAGTCAGCTGTTGAGTTGCATTTTTTACTTGGCTATTCCAAAGAAATCTCAAAGGCAATTTGCCCATAATTCAGCTTCTTCCATTTTTCTTCAAAATGCTGCTTGTTTTTCTCCTTGTATTTCTTTACTCTGTCAATGATACTCCAATTTTTCCCCCCTATCTAAAACCATTAGATCCACCTTCTATTCAACCTTCTCCACTTAATCTTTCATAATTCTATCTCCATCACTTACTCAGCCATCCATCCTGTCCCATTTGAATTAGGAAAACAACCTGTGGTTCATTCATGCATGTACCTAACATGAATTGGGTCTTGTTCTACAGAGAACCAATGGTTCACGAGAAAAGCAGTCTCTACATCACGTTTTTTTCAGTCAAAGGGAGGAGGCAGAAGTCAAGCAATTAAACTACACAATTACTTGAGTACAAAATATGTGAGTATACAATTAATTGAGTACAATATGATAAGCACTTTAAACCAGAAATGCATTGTGCTGTTTCAATCTAAAATACGAAGGATGGAGGAAGGCTTCCTGGAGGAAGTGACGTATAAATGAAACTGGTGATGTGAGATACAGTAAGTGCTCCAGGCAGAGAAAACAGTGTGTGCAAAGACTTTGAAGCAGGGAAGAGCTTGGGGGTCAAGGCCAGCAGGGCTGGAAGGAGAGGAAAGAGCAGTGGGGAGGCAGACCAAGGTTAGGGCCCGCAGGCTGCATGGGCAGCCACTGAAGGGTTCTAAACAAAGGATTGACATCATTCGATTCCTAATTTTGAGAACATCAGTTTGTCTTCTGTGGGTAGAATAAATGGGCAAGACCACTGAGGGGACTAATTCAGTGCTTCAGCCCTGAAACAGTGGTGGCTTTAGGTAGGATGGTTGGATTAAAAGAAAAGAAAATTGGTAGGCACAAGGTAAATTTAGGAGGTAGACAATGCTATGGGGAATGAAGGAGACAGAGGGATCAAGAACAATGCCTGCTTCCTGAGCTGAAGAACATGGTATACGGTGGTGCTATTTTCCTGCAACTTCCCCTTTAATCCAATTTTTATGCTGCATCAATAGAGTAATCTCTAAAATGAAGTCTGATGCCACAATTTGCTGCTTAAAATCCTCCCACAGTTCTCCAATACTGACAGGATAAAGATAACTATGCTCAGTGCGATGAAAAGGCCCCTCTAGAAAGCCCTAACCTAGCATGGCTCATGTCTATTCTCCTACACACCAGACAGGCAAAGTTAATTGTCACCCCCCAAATATTGCATGCCAATTCATATTTATCTTGGTAAAAACTATATCTTCTATTTAAAATGCTCTCTCCCCTCGTTTTGGGAGTAAAATTCCTATTTACTTTTAAAACATAGATTAAATTATGTATTCTCTGAGAAGCCTTTCTAAATATTTCAGTCATGAGTATACCATTATGGTAGCTCTTCTCACAATAAATTGAAAATATTTGGCTGTATGTGTGAACCTCCCCAATTTCCAAGTTTTGCTTTTTAGGAGATGAAGCATGTTTTACTTTATTTATTCTTAATCTGCTGTAATGAACTTCCATGGTGTCTGGTATGTAGCAGGTGTTCAAAACACTGTTGTTAAATAAATCACTTACTGAAAAAAACAAAATAATAGACCAATGCAGTCCAGTAGAAATTTCTGAAATTGTGAAAATATTCTATATTTTCACTGTCCAATCTGGAAGCCGCTAGCCAAATGTGGCTATTAAGTTCTTGAAATTGTGGCCAGTGCAACTGAGAACTGAATTTTAAACTTCATTTAACTTTAATTAATGTAAATTTGTATTTAAATACCATATTGGACAGTGCTATAATAGATAATTGTGTTTCTGTAAATTATTTTTGTACAACGAAAAGGTATTACAGAATACTAAAAAAAAAAAAAAGGTAAATTAGAATCAATGTTAAAGTCCACAAAATACATCATGAATCATTTATTACAT